GCCAGTTGGACAGGAAGAAACCACAGTACTGAGCTAATGGCAAATTACCACTTTCACGCGAGGGGCGTAAATCATTGCGAGGTCGCACCTACCGCTCGATCAATGCAATAACGTGAGCCGGGAACCCATGTTTGTTCTTGAACTTGAATTGAAGGCATGATTTTTTTTCTTCGTATAAGTAACCTACAACATTTGTGAAATGCCACTGGTATGTGTTGGTGATATCCAGTGGATAGCTCAGTAGATAGAGCATCGAACGCGTTATTCGAAGGTCGTAGGTTCGATTCCTGCTCACGGCTGGTTATTTTTTCATCCACTTTTCTTTCTTCTTATTTACATTCCATTGGTTCTAATAACTTCCCTGTACATTCCTAGGCATTACTGTCTGTTAGATCTCATTAATATTGTATATATATATATATATATATACAACCGTCTATTTCTGCATACTATGACTTATCTAACACTTGCGGTAAATTTGGTGGCTAGAACCTTGGCATCAAATTATTTCACGTATTTGTAGACAGTTGATCACAGTGCGTGACGCAAATGGTTACATTAGTGACGTAGCTAGAGCGTAGAAAACCAGCCCCTTCCCTCCGAAAAGCTTTAAATTGCGAATGCATTCCTTAGTCGGACTATGTCAGTCGTCCGTCGGGATCCGTCCACCGCCCTCTCCCATGGCAACATCTGTGAGCGCGCGCGTCCGTAGCAACTGGAGCGCCCACCATGTCGCACTTTGGCGTCAGCAGCTGCGGGCGCTTATCGTCGCCCCTCAGCGACCGGAGCCCCCCTCCCCTCCATGACTTGAACGTGACTTGCCCCCGCCTGGTAGACGAAGAAAGTGCTTAACAGCGCAAACGACAGGAGGGGATAGAGGAAACCAGAGCAGAGCGTTGACTGCTCTCGTCTACCATGCAGCACCAACCAGCCCAATCAAGCACCTTGTTAATGCTCCCGCCTCAATGCACTGCGTCTGAAACGCGTTTGTAACGTTTTGTTCATAAGACGCTGACATTACGGCCGTCAGGTACAGTTGAAAAACAGGTGCAGTGCTTCGCTGCTCCACTCGCCGTTCGCGCACTCTCATTCCAGCGCCCCACTCTCGCGTCCGCTCGTACGTATTATAAAAGGAGTGTTCGCTGGCTGATGAATGTGTAAGTAAATGGTTACGGTACGAATCCTCGTCTCGTCATTGATTACTACGCCGTGTACTGACGATTCCCTTCGGGGGCAATTTTCTACCATGGCATACATAGCATAATGTGACACTCGGCAACACCCTGCTCTCCCCCTGCAGATCAAAGAGATCCCCCCCCCCCCCCCGTGTTTTCAGTTGCACGAGCTCCGGCTTGCGGCGATAAAGAAGCAAAACGTAGAAAGGACAGCGCCAGGTCAGCGCGTCTCTTGAGTAAGAGGGGCAAGTCCCCACATATGCAAATTAGTGACAAAAAAAATACTTGACCTGAACGCATTTCAGCGCACGCCGACAATCAATCACGTATGGTATTACACGTAAGAGCACAAGCTATCAATGTTTGACCTACACGTGGCTTTGTTTGCCCTCTACAGAACCCCAATTCCCTTGTTCTGTTTAAAGGGCGCCAAAGGCAAGGCAGTGTTACACTACAATCGCTATTTCCCCCTCGCCACTTGTTTCTCCATAAGACAACGTCAGCACTAAGCGTTGAGCCAGTCTGCACGATGTTACATCTGCCAGCACGGTCACAAACGAAGCGAAATTTCGCGCATTGTCTACAGCCAAGCATTATTGAGATTATAACGATAGTTTTTGTATAACAAGGCACCGCTCGTTTCATGGCCGATCCCCCCCACGGTGGGTGGCGCCAGATTAATAAGGGTCAACCAGCCGACCGACGATAGCCCTGCGAGACAACGCAGAGCGACTCCTTTGCACAACCTACGTCGCTCGTGTATCGACTAATCGAGAGCTTATTTTATCCTAGCGTCACGTGGCCAACATGCTGGCGTCATAATTGTGCCTCAAGATGGGAGAGAATATTGCGCTCGTTTTCAGCGCATTAACAGGGGCCCCTTAAAAGACTGACGGCAATAAACGCGACTGTCATGACGTACGCGTTCGTTTAATCGACCGTGGTTGAGACAGATCACGTCGTATTAGCAGCTAGAAGTGCAAACGCGTCCGCCTGCGATGCCTTGTCAGGGACACGAACAGCTCGGATGTAAAGTCCCTGCAGTGCGCAACGAGGGGTTATACGCATAAGAACACCGCTCGTGTTCAAGCCCAGATGGCAAACGAGGCACATGTCTGACAAAATGCACCGAGCGAAAAAAAAGTTCACCTCACGTCCTCCGGCGGCCGATATCGTACAGCATGGACGGCGCGGCCCATCCTTCCCCGTTGCGAACACGTGGATCGACTGGGCCAGCACCGAAGATAAACCCTTATCGAGGTTTTCTTTGTAAGAACAACCAAGCCAGCGGGAAGGGTATACCGCTTGTCGCCCCCTCACATCGGCAAGCCGTGCTTCGACGGGCGGCCGAAACAAGCTTATCTTCGATCTCTCATAGCGGAATTTAAAGGGACACTAAAGTGAAGCAACGACTTGGTTTAGATTGAAGAACTGTAATGGTATTATTGTTACCTCGCTTCGTATGTGGAGTTTAACGTCCCAAAACCACCATATGATTATGAGAGACGCCGTAGTGGAGCGTTCCGAAAATTTCGACCACATGGGGTTCTTTAACGTGCACCCAAATCTGAGCACACGGGTTATTTTCACCTTGATATGTTTATAAAAACTGGTGAAGTAAATAAAGGCTGATGTTTCATTTTCGCAAAATGACCTGACTGATTTCCAAACAAAGTTTCTTTTATTGCGATATCATTATATGGACACACTCAGCTGGATTTTACCGCCGCCGTGGGCGTCGCGTCATTGTGTATGCATACGCAACTATTTATGAAAACTCAATAAAAAAAATTGCCTCCGCATCTGCATGTTACACGGCAATGATTTCGTCGAAAGAGGATAGTCTTGCGTCTGCAGAGATTGAACAAAACGTTTATTTGAAGTTCTGCTCACGAAAATCGGCGAATTGTATTCTGGAGGCGCTGCGTTAAAGTGCCTCGATCGTGCAGCGGACGCGAACGAGCGCGTCAAGTCACATCACGCGTGAGACATGAACGCTATCTGGCAGTTATCTTGGAAAACGAAACGCGCGGCTCTGAGACGATAAGGTGTAGAACGCAAGGCGACGGGTAGGTGCCACCACCGTGTCGTCTTAGCAAAGCGTTGGAAACACTTGCCTTTTCCTGCAAGCGTTGCATGGTCAGCGCAGCGTGATGAAGGCTACGGTCCTTAGAATTATTATGTATGCCTTTTCTAGTGAAAGACGCACATACAGAATACATACGTGTTGTTATGGTGCCTAAGATATGCGCAATAATGCTTTTTAATTGACAATTGCACAAGTATGAATGCTGAATATTCAGCAACGTTTGTGGTCGCTGCGGATGAGTTGGCCGTTCGGAGTATCGGCTGGCGCCGTTTAAAGTATCCAGTGTCGTTATGGGTGGACAAACAGACAAATGGGCAGACGGACTAAAATTTTTGCGTGTAAGGTCTATCGCCTTTAATAATCAAGAAAAAGACTCCGGCACGCGGAATCGAACGTGTGACCTCTGAATTATGAGCGCGAGGAATCGGCAACGAAGGAGCACCTCCAACATCAAAACGGCAAGCTGTTTATATCTACCACTTACCGCTGGCGATGGGCATCTCAGCATTACCAGCTAGATGGTGCACCTAAAACCCCTTGATCAAGGGAAGTTTCCTGCTAGATACTCCTCCCTCGGCACGCGCTGCAACCGAGGCTCCCACGGAGGCGCCGCTGAATTCAATGGAGGCGCGTGATTTCGTGCCACGTGCGCACCACGGTAGTGTACCGAATACGGAAAAATGGTGATCATAAGGCCACGTTCACACTGAGCATTCCGGCCGCCGAAAGTGCTCCGAATCCGGTTCGGCGGCGGTGAGTTCCGCAGAAAGGGCCCTCTCCGCACCGATCGCTCTCGGACCGATTTTTGCGGCGTCTGCCGCCGAATAAGTCACCGCGGACCAATAGGAGCGCTAGTCAAGGAATTTTGAAAAATGGCGGCCAAGCCCTACTCCCTTGTTATGCCGCAGTGCACGTAACTGAATGTTGAAACCAATGGGAGTTTAACCTACTCTGTGCCTACTTCGCCTCCGTATTTCGTGAAAGAGGTGACCGAGCTTGCTGTTGGCGTGACAGAGCTTGTTGCGGTCTTGCAAAGCAAAACGAACACACCAACGCCGCTGGCGTCGGTGGTTTTTCTGCTCTTCATGCATTACAAAACAGCCACTCGCCAGCAAAGTAAGCAGTACTGTCTTTTCTTGCTTCTTGCGTACGAGAATCGTCGAAGTATGCACCACTGGATAGCGTAGTAGCGTTTGCGAACCGCGACAACAACCGGGTGACAGCGCATCCATACCGCGTTCGCCCCGTAGTAGATGGCATATTCGGCGGCGCGGGGTGCGTCCAGTGCGAACGACGCTGTGTTTCGGCGGCAGGGGAATTTCGGTCGCTGTAGAAAGCGGATGTTTCAGTGTGAACTAGGCATAAGATTGATTTGTGGGGTTTAACGTCTCAAAACCACGAAATGATTATGAGAGACACCGCAGTGGAGGGCTCCGGAAATTTCGACCACCTGGGGTTCTTTAACGTGCACCCAAATCTGAGCACACGGGCCTACAACATTTCCGCCTCCATCGGAAATGCAGCCGCCGCAGCCGAGATTCGATCCCGCGACCTGCGAGTCAGCAGCGGAGTACCTTAGCCACTAGACCACCGTGGCGGGGCGAGGCAATGAAAGAAAGGAATTTGTGGGGCTAAAACAGAACCGGCTCGCACATGACGGGGTAAATTCTCGAGCACTGGGTGCATTTAAAACAGGCGTTGGCAAGAAAACGTGTCCTTGCATATCGCGTATGCAGCCACCCGAAGGACGAGCAGGTGCAGTCCGAGGTGAGCCTGCCACTGTGGCCGCCCAAGGACCTGGCCGTCGACCTGCACTTCAAGGTTTTCGTGGGACACCGAGACAGGCGAGTACGCAACGCAACTGATTACGCAGGAGAAACGCGCCTACGGAATAAGCGATGCAAGCGAGCGCCCCAAAAGTTATAAAGATGATGGCGGTTCCTGCAGTTGTTACTGAAAGGGAACAGCATGAGCAACAATTCGAGTAAATTTCGGAGTATTCTGCGTGTTATTCTAGCATGCACATAGAGCAATGTTGTCCTCGAGAAGGGACGAAATATGTACAGGTGTGAGCACAGACCAGGGGATCGAGTGGCCGGAGGCATCGATGCGCTATCTGGCGACGAGACGCCTGCTGCGCTGCGCGTCCCGCCGTAACATTAGGCCTCTCATGTCGCTCTCTCCGACGCGCTCGTAGCGACAACTGGGTGTCACTGTCCTTGCTCTAACAAATTCGTGCCGTTCTTTTTCTTTTTTTTTTTACGTGTCGGCTGCGTTGGCGCCGGTTCCAACGCCGGGTTCGCGTCGTGATATATACCGGTTTATTAGCATAACTAAGCATAGCCAGCCTCCCAAACCTGATGAAGCTAAGTACACAAACTTAAGTTTTCTCAGCTAAGCTCACCTTTTCTGCGTTAGGCTATAGTTGAACTTGAATGAGCCTAGTTCTTACGAAACAAGCGCAATAAGTACAAAGACATAAATACAATTAATTTAGCTAATTAAAATTATACAGATTAGGAAGACTAGACTCAGTGATTAGTAACTAGTATCTTCCTCAGATTTTTATTTTATTGTTTTATTAGAACTTGTCTAAATCAATAATATATAATCACACTAGTCTGACGATGCCATGCTCAACCACACTTATATTTTTCTATGCTCATCTTAACGCTACCGCATTAGCTTACTTATGCGTAATTCACCTAATTATGCCACGTGAAACTCCAATATGTTTCGTGTGTGATCGAATATCAGACCAATTAATCGACCATACTAGTACGTGTCCTAACTGCAATAATTTGACAAAACTTAGCTTGATTGGTACAGTGCAAGTAAGGAGTAATTAGTATTTTCCTAGGTTTGGCGCCTCTAGGCTTATAGGGAAGTCGACTTGGATTAATTGGCCACGACAAGGTTTGCCTTATTTGGGCTAATTTTGCTCGGCTAAATGAAATGGTAGCATAATCAGCTATGCATAATTCGGTTGGCTGTACGTGCACTTTTCTTGACCCATCTGGGCGCATCGAAGCTTTACTACGCTTAGCATAAAAACAGCAACCTGGATCTTTCTTACGCCCGAATTTATCAGGTGATACCACCCTCAACTAGGCTGGATAAGATTCGGCTACATTTACACTGAAGTAATTAGGCTCGTTTTTTCAACTTGGCCTAACGCGACAAAGGTAAGGCAAGCTGAGAAAATTTAATTTTGTTTACTTGGCTGCACCAGGTTTTGCGAGGCTGGCTACACTTAGTTATGAATCAACCGGCATAACTTCCTACATGATCCCGGCGCCGTTGCAGCCGCTACGTAAAAACAAGAAGAAAAAAAACGGCACAATTTAGATGGAGCAGTGATACCGACAGCCAGGTGCCATTTTGGCTCGTCGCAGAGAGCGACATGAGAGGCTGATACCACGGAACGCAGCAGGCGTCGCTGGATAGCTGCCTTCGGCCATGCGATCCCGTTGTCTTTTTGCTGCCGCCTGTATAGTCAGAAAATTCCGACACGCGACGCTATTTTCTCCGAGCACGCCAATATCGAGAGGGCCAAGCACATTTAATTTTCCAGAACATAGTTGGCTGGCGGAAAGCACTCTAACAAGCAGCTTTTTCAGCGCAAATGCGATTCCAGCGAAAAAGAAAAGTAGAAATGATGTGCATATCTACATCTAAACAGGCGCTTTTTTATGATTTGGGCTTTCGTACAGACCAACAGCGAAATGGGCTGGTTTAGAAAATGGACCGTACTAGGCATTCTGGCTCGGGAAAAACAGCATCGCGTGTCATAACTTTCCGACTCTTGTTACTTGCGCTAATATTTTCCGTTGCGGCATTACATGTCTTCTACCAACATCCTTCGCTGGTTCTAAAAACGCAGCAGCAAGTTTATCACGACTCGCCTTACTTTTTGCGATAAAAGTTGCAGCTCCCCTGCGTTGTCACTGCCCCTGAAGATATGATGTGGATTCCGAAACGTCGGGAAATAAACCCATTCGTTGGTTGGGGTCCTATGCATGAAAGTCTGAAATAACTAAACCTGACAAGCAACTCTTAAGCCTTACGGGAAATGTTGTCTCGTTGCGCATTACCACGACGTGCCTTATCGGGTGGCTCTTTGCGGAAGAGCGCGTGAAACGCCGTGGTTTGTGCAGCGACCACTACCACGTGTTCGAGCTGTCGCGGCAGCTGCCCCGCTTCGCCGCCTACCTACTGCTGCCAGAGGGGCCACGTGACACGCCATTGGGAAGCGTCCGCTTCCGAATCAACGAAAGGCCACACAGGGTAACTATGTATTGCAGTCATTGCTTGTAGCATCGTAAGGCAAATGATGAGCTCCGCGGCAAGCGCGAAGCGATGAATTCGATAGTCGCACGATGAACGGGAAGCAACGCGATACTCGCGGAGCATCGCTCAAGCACAAGACGGACGAATGGATGGATGGATTGGTTGGTAGGTAGGTATGTACGCACGCGCAAAGTCGCCGAAGAGCGCTAAGAAATGCTTCGCATTTAAAAAAAAAACAAAGATTAAGGAAGCGAAGTTGTCTTATCAGCCGAATGACGTACTCACAAGATGCACAAAAACCTTCACCGGGGCAATCGTGAGACAACTGTTCACGGGCACAATAGCATAATAGTTCACAAACTCACGTTGCCCAATCGTCCAAAACCACTGCACCAAGACAACTGCTTTGAAAATATAATTTTGGCAGCCGTAGAGTACAACGTCTCGTTGCTTAGCGTGTCGCGTTCGCCGTCACCAAAGGGGAAGGAACGCCGGCTGTGCGGCAGCGAAAGCAGTCGGCAGCCACAGCAACGGCCCATTCTGAGGGCTAGTTCAGCTCTGAAACGTCACGCCAGTAAACAGCCCATAAAAAATGAGTAAAGTGCTGGAGGTACGCACGAAGCCACCACGGAAAAGTGAGCGATGCCCCGTTGACCTGGCAATGCGCCGAACTAACCGGAAGCTCTGGTAGCGAATTGCCTGCGTAACCCCCCTCCCCACTAGTGGCACTCGACGAAAAATTGAGGCAATCAACCATTTAACCAGGTGTAAGATACACCATAAAGCGTTTATGGTGAATTTTGGCACATATAAAATTATAATATTTGAAGAAAAAATTAAATTGAGTTCTTAGTTTGGTTGTTCTCACCTAGCCGCGCTTCAATCGTCAGCGGGTGGCAATAGGTTTCCGACGCTCTTCGTTGAGTTTAGCGACCCATGTAATTTGACTATGTTTTAGATGCGAATCAGCTTATGGCGGGATGCGTGTCCGTCGCTCCCACACTTCTTAGCGCGGCTTCTACCCTCCTCTACGCATCCCCTTTTCCATCTTTGCTCTCCTACGATCTCCCCTCATTCCCGTCCCGTCCTGGTGCGTCATGCAGGAAGGAAAGCTGTGGTATGGTGCTGTGGTCCGTCCAACTCCACAGCGCACGCGCGTCATCTCCCCCTCTCTCTTCGAAGAATCCCCCACTCTATGGAGCGGCGAGCACGACAGGTCTGCCCATTATTTAAACCTCATTAATTGTACTTAAACGAAGTAACCCTAGTTGTTCCGACAGCTGCATACTCCGCGGGGTGGGGGGAGGGCTCGAGCGCGGACGCTTCAATTCTCACCTGCGCAACGCCTCGATGAGCGCCAGCACAAGACAGTAGATATAGCGCGAGAACAGAACCACGACAAAGAGACAAGAGGGAGACGAGCGTATCTTTGTCGTCGTTCTGTTATCGCACTATATCTACCGTCAACTCGTCCAAGCCAGCACAAGCTCTCAATGACCATCTCCCGCTCAGGAGAACCGCCTCCCCGCTGCTTCGCATCCCCACGCTATTCCGTTTAGCGGGAAATCAGTTCGACGACGCCCGGGTCATCGACACGGAAGGTACATAGATACTGTTCTTAGCATATCCAAACAACTCCTCGAAATATCAAACTGGAACCTTAGCGAGTGTACACGGAACCAGTGGGAAAAAAAAACACCGCAACTACAAAGGCGGAAAGACACCACCAAGAAAAGTCGTGGAGCCGGCTGAGCAGTCGCCCCCGAAGAAGCGGTCCCGAAACGTCGGCTCAGGTTATAGTTTTGGACTTTATAACTTTGTATTATAAGTTGGCTGGGCAGTTTATTTTATTCCTATGAATTTTGACCCAGCTAGACTGATCTCTGTCGAATGTAGGATTTATCCGTCACCCTTGCACACGGATAAGACTTGGCTTAGCATTAAGATGGTTCACCTCATAAAAGAATGTGTGGAAACAGATGTGTCGCTGCTGTGAAACCACAAATTATATATTTCTTGTGAAGCCATTCAGGCAGATGCAACCATCTCGTGCTGCCGTCGTCTTCACCTGGTCGGATTCTTCTGGCTCGTACTAGCGCGCTACAAATGGATAACATCATATATAAAGAAGCTTACTTGCGTCATGATGATCCCGCTATCGGCAGCGACTTGCTTCACTCACGGCTTCTGTGCCAGACGCTTGCCACGAATTTGCGACTGCCAAGGGTCTTTCTGGCTTTGAGCTGTACTGCCACGCAACATGTAGTTCATCCGCAAGACCAGAAATACTAGCGAATGCCCGAGGCATCGACGCGCGACAACGTCCACCATGCAGTCGGCTGCCTGCAGCGTGAACGGGTCCACTCCGCACATCGCTCGCGAAGACTACCGCGTGCGGGCGTCGACTAAGCAATGCACCAGAATCCTCACTGGAATCCCCTCACTCGTTTTGCTGTTCCTTAAGCTGCAATCACTCCCGCCCAAGGAAGACGCATTTTCAAGTTTTTTTTCTATGCACTTCGTTATGAAAACGCGATAGATTTGTCCAGCTTAGCAAACTGCTTAGATCAGCAGTTCTGTTATCGCGCGCGCGGTACCAATGGACAGCTTAAGATGGAGAGAAAGCGGGTTCGTCGGAGCGTAGAACAGCCAACGAGGGAGAGAAGAAAGCGTAAACCATTTGCCGCCAGGCCGGTCGACGCTAGCGTGATTGCCGTCATATCGCGCTCGGATGCTCTTCGCTGACTTCGTAGTTACTGCTCTCTTCACAAGACTAACAAGCGCGACCGCACCGGCACGTCCATTTGTTTATTCAGAGCTACCGCAGACCTGCTTCTTCCCGGCTGGGTGCGGTTCGGGAAGTTGGCGCATTCATGAAGTACATTTGAGTAATGTCTTTAAAGCTCCGTCGCGGGATGCGGCAGATCGGCCTGGACCATGGCCCGGACAGATAGTTCTCGGGCGTAGAGGTTAGCGTTGCTTTCTAATGAGCCGGGATCCACACGAACTCGATGGCTCGTTTCGGAGGGTTGTACTTGGTGAGAACGGCCGTGGGAGAGATCACTCCCCTGTGGAGGCTTCTGTACGCTAACTTGAAATCTGTGACGAGGTCCACAGCCGCTTCTTCCCCAACGAATGCCTCTGTCGTCCTCAAAGACGCGCTGACGATCAGCTTGACGATGGACGCGGCTGCCGCTGTTGCTCGCGTTTCCTGAGCGAGGCGTCCTCGTCCAGCTGTCGCACCTCTTGGCTCGATCCGTCTCTATTCGTCCTCCGCCGGGTCCCCGGGAATGGCGATTGGTTAGAATGGCCTCTTTGCACTGCTCTGGAGGCCCGTCATGGCTCGCAAGTGGCTCTATCTGCCGTCCTATTTTTCTTAGGACGGTCCGGCCGTGCTCCGTTGGCTATAGGCGTTTGGTTAATAAAAAAATGAGCTCAATCAGCTCCTTTACCGTCATTGTGGGCGCTCATTTCCAGCAGTTTCTCTGTGGGCGAGTAATCGGCAACTAACCAGCAAACAAGCGAACAATGCTGTGGCGCACGAGGCAGGATTGCTAGAGCACCCCGTTCTCAGTTTACGGTTACATCGAATCTAGACCCGCGGAACATTGTGCCCTTTCTGGAAGACGGAAGAGGCACAAACTATAGCCGAGACCTCAAAGAAGGCACTTCCATTCACAAACATTCCTTGAGCGATGGGAGATTTTGTTCTCCACTCAGCTCGCACTGACGGCCAGGATTTGCGGGAGACATAACGGTCCCCACGGGATCCCCTCGGTCTGCTACCTGCGCGTACTGTTATCGGAATTTTAACAAAGTTTATTTTCTCGCTTGGCTTCAAAATGGCGAATTACCCACAATGCACTGCGCCACCCTTTATTGTGGAGGCGCCCTATAGGCCCAGTAACAGGCATGCATGTGAGAAGGCGTTCGTTGCCCAGAGCAAATTCGAAAGGTTTCATGCACTAAGTGTTTGAAGTACGCACTAGGAACATGATGGCGCTATCGCGTTCAACTCCTGAAGGCGAAGCTTTAAGGTCCCTTAATTTGTATTCGCACTTCTAGTGACTGAGCAGCTCGCTCACACGTGACGCTCAAGATAATGCCGTTGCTTAACCGGTGACACATTACGAAGCATTAATAATAAAAGAAAGAGCCACCCGCATTTCGCCACGGGAGAAACTCGAGTAAATGCGTCGCATAATGGTGGGGGTATCGCATGAATGTTGCGTAATGGGTATAGTTTGGGAATGCATAATTGATATTAAATGCGAAGCATTTCTTAGCGAACTTCGGCGACTTTCAGAGTATCTATCTATCTATCTATCTATCTATCTATCTATCTATCCGCTTACGCTTGGGTGCTCATCGTGGTCACCCCCTTAACTTGGCGTGAACCAAATTAGCATGAGAGGGTGAGCTGGTTTGACAACTTTAAGACGCGCTGGTCATGGCATGCATAATGTCACAATCCCGTCGCGTAGGTCGTAAAACACTTCCCACCAGGCAGTGGCACATACACATGGGCGGGTGTCAATAATCTGTGCCAGATACCCGCATACCAAGCGGTTATGTGCCGCTGGTATGCGGGTATCTGCACAGATTATTGACACTTGGTATCTACCCAGGAACGACGAGAACGCACATGGGCATATAAGCGTTAAGAAATACCCGGCCATCGGTAGCGTCGACCCAACAAATGCAAAGAATAAATGTCAGGGTCCCAGCTGGAATTGAACCGAAGGCATTCTGCGTGGCAATGAAACATTTAACCACAGAGCTAAGCTAGGTCTCGGAACTACTATTCAAATAGACGCTAATCTTCGTGAAACGTCATACTGGTTGTAGAACTGCCTACCCAATCTTAAAAACATTACATGTGTACTCCTTTTGATACAGCCGGCCACCGCGGGCTAACGTCACTTGCGGTTAGTTTGCCTTGCGCTGAAGTTGATTTATGTAGCAGTGTCTAGGGCCAGCATCCTCGCGAGCATCAGCGCTTCATATCAGCTTCTGGTGTTGCTAATACGCATGTTCCAGTTGGCATCGTTGCGCAAGTGCAAACAACTGGTTGTACAACATCTGCAACTTTTCAACATATGTCTGTGTGTGCAACATTTGTACTAGTATTTTGCGCCATTTCATGACGTGTCACATAATAAAAAAATTGCAACAGGGTCAGCTTCCCTTCGCATGCTTCACATAACGGCGATTCCCGGATACATGGGATCTGCCGAATTTTTTTCGTCTTTATTATCCTTATTTATTGAATGACAGAGAAGCGTTGCCTTCAGAGAGTGGTGGGACGCTGATGTTGGGTAGTGCCTCACTAAACGGTTGAAGGTATATACTGTTGCTTCCATCGCATCTACTCGAGCCAAGCAAAGCGACAGTTGGCACAAGACGAGAGCATGCGCAGTCAAGGTGTAGACGACACCGCCGAAGTCGGATTTGCGAGTAGGTGCGACAAATGTTCCGCATTTAAAAAATGACAACCTTGACTTAACATTGCATATTTCTGGCACCGCGCCGCAATGTGTCTGCGCGAACGAAGCGCCCGACACAGTTTAGTTGGGCGCGAACTGTGGGCTTTCAGGCATGTAGACAATACTGGCATGTAAGATGTAGCTAATGGTCAGACCTTACGTAACGTCGGCACTTACTTTAGAGCAGTGATGAGTGCCCGGTCATATGATGCGCGTCGTCGGCGTATTGGAGCAACGTTGACTGACTTGCCCAATAGGAGCGAGGTAAGACGTCGGGTGTCCGCGTTCACCGCCATCAGATTCGCACCGCTTGGATTAACCTCACGAAGCCAACACATGCGCCGCCCATTGACGAAGACAGTCTGCCCCGGCGCTGCCGAGCGACGAAAGGTCGTCGCTTCCGCCATGGCGTCGCTTTGTGGCAGGCTGTCGTTGGAATGCGCCAAGGAAAGATCAGCCAAGACGTTAAGACCGACTATTGTACATATGTCCCCGCAGGTGGCGTCGTGGGTGAATCAGGAACTTCCTTTTGGCCGAGGAGCTGCAGTACCAGGACTCCTTCAGGGTGAGCTTCCTCGCACTGCGATGCCTGAAGCCGATCACCATCGACGTGCAGACTAGCGGGGAGGTAAGCACCAAGGGCTATCGGTCTCTTCTTAGATAGGAAGGAAGCCATGGTTGGACCTATGCATATCGCAGATGCCTGTTAGACAGCAGATGTTTTTTCAAACAAAAACTGACATTCCAGGCAGCAATAGAGAGAAATACGAAAGCGTACGATGTTACAAAACACTCGCTAAATTACTCTAACCTTCTCCGTCGATTATCGCACCCGCTTTCTGCATCTAACCCACTATTGCTGCACAAACCCCGGGAATGCCACGCGATGACGTCGTTTGTGCCCGCCCTAACCGTCCCCCATCACGACATTGCTGACGGTCTGGCCGAATCTCGCAGTGCCTCGACAGGTCTCGCAAGATACCGCCAAGGTTAATGATCACTTACAAACAATAAAGCAAGCAGAAAAAAGTGTTGCACACTCGGCGCTGTTATAAACCGATAAGAGTGTTAGTCAGCGGCACTTATAGGTTTGCATGCACACATGTGTACCCCCCATTAAGCCGACGACCGCCGCCGTAGCCTCAGCAGTTGGTAGAGCGTCGGACGCGTATTCGCAGGTTCGCTCAGTGGCATGTTATCTTTTCATCCTCTCTTCCTGCTTCACGTTTAACATATCCCTTATACATTTCATGGCATCACTGTCCGTTAGTGCTCACTAGTAAAGAAAAACGACCTTCAGCATACCACCAAGTTTCTTGACTACAACGGCGACAAGTGTTCTTCATAACTGCTGATGTACAGGTGAGCATCGAGACGGGCCTGATGGACGTGGCTGCCGACATGGTGCAGTCGCTAGCCGCGTACCTGGAGATCGAGGATCTCGAGTCGAGGGCCCACTCCCTGACGAGTATGAACGTCTGGGATCCTGGTCGACAAGGTGGGCGCGTATTGCCGCCCGCACTACTGCCACTATAAGCATGCGTTGGAACATTCTCATTGTGACTGCCGTATATATGCGGTTGTTGATGACTGCGTTGCCGTTTTTCTACGAATAGTTGTACATCACTGACAGATTCGCACTACATTAGTACATTTTGATTTCATCCTCTATTATCACTTGACGCCAAACGTCGGCATGAATTGGAACCAGATAAATATTTTTTTATAAAACGCTCCCTTTGTTTGGAGAAAATTTTATAAGAGCGGTTAGCTGGGCCAGTTGGTACGTGTCAACAACAACAACACAACAACAACAACAAACACAACAACAACAAACAACAACAACACAACAACAACAACAATGGGGGCTCAACTTGTCATAACCAAGACGTGATTGTGAAAGAAGGCCGGATGACTCCAGGAATTCACCACCGGGAGGTGGACACCTAAATATAAGCACACGGGCCGCAGTCGTTATCGCCTCCGTCGAAAATTCAGCCGCCTTAACCTGCGGCTGAGCACAATAACCACAACGTGGCGAATCAAAGGTAGGCATATGCCGCGTTTCTCTGACTGACATTAAGGCGACACTAAAGTCAAATAATTTTAAATAAGAGTGGAAAGCTCAACGCATGGCATCGTCTAAAACAACAACATTATCAACAGGAGTGCCCCACTTACCGAAAAATGAGTGTAAATGCACGAGAACACATGCGCCGCAGTAGGACATGGCAAAATGTCCTAATGACGTTCAAGTGTCAGCCTACAATTAATCACTAGTAATTGAACTAGCTCACTAAATAGAAAACATTCCGTGCATCAAGGTGTGGTGGTGAAAAACATTTATTCATACTATTACAAGTAAGAGAGATAGAGGCGGGCATAAGGCCCGACCCTGTATAAACTCTATAGGAGTCCCTAGTCCGAGACACCTGTGGCTTCCGCGGAGGCACGCGCCCTGGCACGAAGGCTCTTCGACCCTCCAAGGTCGAGCAGGGCAGCTTCTCAGCTCTCTCGGGTTGGGGGTGAAGAGAAGTGATTGGGGGGACCGCCCGGGTGAGATGACATGCCCACATCATGTAGAAAGTGTCCGCAAGCGGATGATCACAGTGTGGGCATTCCCCTGAGAAAAGCCGGATTGAAATGCCTAAGTATTGCCGGGCACAATAGTGTGTTGGTGTAAAGGCGTAACAGCCAGCGCTCGTCCGCCTTATTAGGCCCGTCGCCGGGGGGTGGAAATCGGAGCCTGTTCGATCTGTACATGGCTGTAATTTCGCGAAAGGAGGTGACCGTATTAGGTTCTGAATCGTCAGGTGATAGAGGACGAGGAGGTTACCGGTAATCAAGTGCGCGGGCTGAGGCATTGGCAGCCTCGTTACCAACTATATCACTGAAAGTGTGTTTGGGCTGTCTAGATAATAACACTGTCCCTTCAGTATTCGAGCGGCGCGACTGGTGGTGCGACCTTTTGTAAAATTTCGACACGCACTTCGCGAATTGGTAATGATGATCTTAGATGCGGGGTCCGCTGCGGCGAGAGCTATGGCGACTTCCTCCGCGTGAGTAATGTCTGGGGCTCAAAAGTGAGCCATTGAACGGAAATGTTTTGATGGACTACCGCTGCTATGTACTACCCCCAGTGGGTGAGGGCCAGACGCGTCCGTGTAGAATACTCCAAAACGGGGACCCATAGCGTCCTTGCAAGGCTGTAACTCGCGCAGTTCGCCTGCCTTCGTGAGTATTCCTAGCCATGTTGTGGAGCAGAGGCTGAATAACCACGCACTACGCCACTTCCTCGGGGATCGTGGTCCGCTCTTCTGCCTGATAGGTGTAGGATATATGGAGGCGGTGTAAGAGACATCTCCCCGTGTGCGACTTGGTAAGCCGCAGTACTGGTTGTTGAGATGGACCTGAGTTCCCTGTACGTGTTTGTCATACCCAAATCTGCAAGGCGTTGGTTAGACGTCGAGATCGGAAGTTCTAGGGCGCGCTTGTATAACTTGCAAAGAATGCATTCGAGTGTGTTTACGTCACATTGGCGCAAACGTAGGTAGGGTGTCGAATACAGAATCCGACTGGTCACGAAAGCGTTGGCAAGGCGCAGAGTGTCGCTGCTTCGGAGACCCCCTCGCTTTTTCGAGATCCGACGAACCATGCGGCCTACCTGATCTCCGACCGTACGTAGCTTGCGCAGGGTTGTGTCAGCTTTTCTGCTCTTGTGTATAAAAAGCCCCAAGGCGCGGATTTCTCACATTCCGCGATTAGCCCGGTGCGCAACGAAATCAGGATTTCCTGTCGTGTCTTTGGGTTCGGAGCGAAGGTGTACATACTCAATTCGTTGGAGAGCATTCGAGGCCGCAGCGACGGGCGCAGTCCTCCACGACCGACGCGCTTGTTGCAAGCTGGCCTCAATGCTGCCAAAGAAACCCTGGGTTGCCCACAGCATGATATAATCGGCGTGCATAGCTTGGCGTTCGCCGGGAATACCTTCAGCATGGGGGGAGATTAGCCATGGCGAGGTTAACAGAAGGGGGGAGAGGACCACTCCCTGTGTGTTCCTCGAGTACCCAGAGATATGGGCCAGCTCCCTGTCTTGGATGCATAGGTCCGTCTGCCGTTCCGTCGGGAACTGATGTACCTGAAAGCATTATGCCCAGAGTCTGTTTGGGACAGATAGGTAAGAATGATTTCGTGGGTGACGTTATCAAAAGCCCCTTTGATATCCAAGGCGAGGACTACCTTATCATGCTGGATGCTTGATCGGCTCAATGACGTCACGATAGAGTTGAAGGAGTATGTCCTGAGCAGAGCAATGCTGTCGAAAACCGTACATAGTGTCGGCAAAAGATGTGCCGGGTCTCGAGGTAGTCGGACAGCCGATCCCTAACCATCGTTTTCCATAAGCTTCCCCACACACGAGGTCAAAAAAAATGGGTCGTAGATTTTCGATGTTTATAGACTTGCCTGGTTTGGGAATAAATGTTACCAAATCCATTTCCATCAAATGGCAGTCGTTCATTCCCTCCCGAATTTGATTGAAGCAGTCGAGGAGCTGATGATATGCCGGGTCTGGGAGGGTTGGCTAGAAGCCTAACCGTCACTCGACCCCTACCCGGCGCCGTTCCTCGCTTCATTTTGGACAGGGCCGCCTTCAGATCATGGAGTTCAAAGCAACGATCCAAGTCTGCGTTCTCCAAGCCTGCATATTGTAACGAATGTAGCAGCCTCACAACAACAATGTTCTATTTACACGGTTTATTAAGGGCGAACTTGTGCCCAAAGTGAACGAGGCACAGCAATCAAGAAGATCCAAGGGCGGTAGTCCTCGTGAGCCTCTGCCTCGAGCGCCCTCGTTCTCTTCTTCTTCACGAGCGTTGGCTGTTCGGCGGAGTACCGGGAGCATGCAGGGCCGGCTCGTGCATTGCGGCTGGCTTCGTCGCTCGTAGTCGTGCCGTTAGCATTTCACTGGTTCCCAACGTCCGCGTTGCGCGGAGCAATGGAATTTCCTGTAGATTTATCCCCCCTCTCAAGAGGCATCGCCCCGATGCTTTCGATGATAATGTATGCAGCGTTTCCGTCTCGGAAGGTTTGTAAGAGGGAAATGGTTGTACAGCAAGCAAGTGGGGGTGGCTAGTTTTCGTACCGGTCGTAGTACGGTTTCATGCACACAATGTGTACACGCTCGGTGGGATTGCGCCGTTTAGAATGCCCATGTCCTGTAGGCTTGACTTCATAAACGAGGTCGCTGAGTCGCTGTACTACCTCGTAAGGACCGAAATATCGACAAATGAGTTTTTGAGACAGGCCTAGTCGTCGTACTGGGATCCATATCCACACTTTGTCACCTCATACCGTGTTTCACGTCTTCCTCGTTGTAGCGGTCGGCATCGATTCGTTGTTGGTGACATATTCGGTACCTTGCTAATTGGCGGGCCTCCTCCGCTCTCTCTCTATAGTCATCGAGATCAGAAGGGTAGTCATCTTGATCTATAGGTAACATAGCACCCAGTGTTGTGTTAACTACACGACCGTAAAACTAGTTGAAACGGGGTAATCTTGGTAGTCTCTTGTACGGCGGTGTTATAGGCGAAGGTGAAGTATGGTAAAATTTCGTCCCACTTTTGTGCTCGACGTCCACATACATAGATATCATGTCAGCTAGAGTTCTGTTAAGGCGTTCAGTCAGGCCGTTGCTTTGAGGGTGATATGCGGTAGTTTTCCAGTGAACAGTGTGGGTCATGTTCAGCAGGCATTCCATGAGTTCCGCCGTGAAAGCCGGTCCGCGATCGGTGATTACAACAGTTGGAGCGCCATGCCGTAGCACTATGCTCTGTACAAAGAATTTGGCGACCTCAGCTGCCGTTCCTCGATGCAAGGAGTCTGTTTCCACGTATCTCGTTAAATAATCAGTCGCTACAACGATCCACTTCTTGCCAAGTAAAGATGTCGAGAATGGTCCAAGGAGGTACATTCCAACTTGTTGGAAGGGTGCTTTCGGTGGGTCTATCGGGTGCAGAAGGCCCGCTGGCTTAGCACGAGTCGCTTTCCGTCTTTGGCACTCGCGGCATGTTCTGACATAGCGCTGTACTGAAGACAATAGCTTGGGCCAATAATAATGCTGACTAATTCGTGCAAGCGTTCGAGTGACACCCAAATGTCCATACGTAGGCTCATCGTGGCACGCTTGTAATATTTCTTGCCGCATAGTTGCGGGAACAACAAGCAGAAACTTTTCACGGTTGGGTTTAAAGTTTCTCTTGTAGAAGACATTTCCTCGGAGGCAGAACGATGCGAGGCTTCGAGAAAATATGCGAGGTACTTGTACGTCAGCTCCTATCAGGTGTTTGATGAGCGGGAGCAATTCTTCGTCCGCATGTTGAATTTCAGCTATCTGAGAAGTCTCGACAACAGCCACGAATGGAAAGTCCTCTTCATCTGATAGTGCTGTGTCTGCAGGTGCCCGTGACAAACAGTCGGCGTCGGTATGCTTCCTGCCAGATCGGTAT